TGCTTCCATGTGGGCTTTGTTGCTTCTGGGCTAGATGGCCGCTTGTTTACTTTCAAGCCTTTAAGTCCCCAGACGCTATAGGTCTCGATAATGTTTCTTCTTCAATTATGCACCTTCCTGGTTTAATTTGATCCATGCATGAGTTACTATTGAATTTTAAAGTGCAATTGTTTTATGTTTTTGTATTTAATCTGGTAATGTTTTCTTAGATTTTCATTTTCTATCTTTGTTAAGTATTCCCAGTATTTTTAAAGCAATTTTATTTTAGAATTAATTGGGTCCAATACAACAGTTTAGGAAGTATGCTTTATTCTATTTTAACATAATAAAATATAAATTGTATTTTAAGTGATATTTTAAAACCCAAGTGATGCTAAATATGGTTTGAAAGAAATGAGCAACCTACTTTGTTAATCATTTTATAATCCCACAGCTGATGATTTTATCTTAGTGCCGCCCTTGACAAAAAAGTAACTTTGAAATTAACACATTCTTGGTTTAATTTAGTTGATGGATAAGACCTAGAGAAGCAATTATTGTTTAATTAAGAAAAGCCATTCTCGGTTTCTTCTTCTATGTGGATTTAGTTGACGCCTCACTTAGATGTTTGCTTATTTGACTACATGTCTCTGAGACTATTCTTTTTGATAGATAGGCACCATCTCTTTTCTTGACCACACTTTGCTGTAGCACCCATATGTACTACAACACCCATATGTTCAGTGATTTCTTCATGAGGGGAAGCAGCGAATAGGGCCGTGTCATAAGAACTAATTGTTAATTGATTGGAGCTAGAGATAAGTGCCAGCCCAGAATCTATTCATGTGTCTATGGTTTATGTACCTTTCTGGTTTGCTTTAGAGCCCTTATTATCATTTTATGATAGAGAACCTTTTCAATTTTCTCCCTGGGGCAAAATGATATTTCTGCTGATAATATCATTAATTTGTCCAATGGTATAGAATTTAACATACCTATTGAGAAAAAGGAATTTATACATCTATAGACCAGCTTCAAGCCACAATCCATGAGTTGTTGAATTGTACAGATTCTTAAATTATTGAGTACTCTACATTGATCATGGGAATTGGTGATAGGGGAAATTTTCTAGTAACGTTCATTCACAAAGGGCAGAACCTTACCTGTCATATTAACACATAAGACTGTAAATCTTACATGAGTAGAAAGTCTCAACTTTCTCCAGAATTTGCCCATAAACCCCTAACCCAAATTCACTGCCATTGAATAAGTTACAAATTCATTTTTTAAAATGATAATCTGCATGTTAAATTCTACTATATTTGGTTGGTGGTGGTACTTTTAAGAGGACAAAAGGAAAATACATATCACATGTATAGGTAACATGATATCCTTTTAAAATGAGTGCATGGCATTCAAATTTTCCTTCTAATATCATGGAGCAGAGTTGATTTGGGAATGTCAACTATAATATTCAAAGTATAGTCAGGAACAAGGAAATATTGACATTTTTAATTATACTCATTGGTTCTATCTAAGCAGGAAGGGTAGATTTAGCAGTAACTGGTATCATTTTCTTAATTCCACATTTAATATGCATTTTTTTGTTTTAATGGCCTTTGAAACATTCATTAAAAGTTACTTTAGAAAGTAGATAAGTAATACAGCTATTACTAAGTTCATATTTTAGTTGATATTATTCACTTAAGAAATTGATGTTTGATCTATGTATTGTGATGAATTGTATGAGCCCCAATTAAAAATAAATAAATAAATCATAAAAAAAAAAAGAAAAGAAATTGATGTTAACTTGTTATATATGATCATAGCATTTGGTTTATTTAGAGGATAGGAATACTTGTTTGGAAATAATAATAATTAAATACTGACAAGCAAGTACCTAATGAAGTTAAATGATGGGTACATGGGAATGACTGTACAGTCTTCAGTAAGTCACCTTGTGAGAATTCAACCATTGAAACCCTGGGGGCACAGTTCTGCTTTTACACAGAGAATCACCAGGAGTCTGAGTCACCTCCACAGTGACTCTCTGTGTTTTCCTAACTTTAATGTATGTAAAATTTTCCCTTTTTTTAAAGATAAACTCAAGCCTTCTGTGTTCCAACTGCACTGCCATTTTACATTAAATTCTTCAGTGGAAATTTTTTTTAAAACATTTTATTAGGGGCTCATACAAGTGTTATCGCAATCCATACACACATCAATTGTGTAAAGCGCATTTGTACATCATTCTCAAAACATTTTCTCTCCACTTAAACCCCTGACATTAGGTCCTCATTTTTCCCCTCCCTCCCCGCTCCCCCCTCCCTCATGAGCCCTTGATAGTTTATAAATTGGTATTTTGTCATATCTTGCCCTGTCCGACGTCTCCCTTCATCCACTTTTCGGTTGTCTGTCCCCCAGGGAGGAGGTCACATATAGTTCCTTGTAATCAGTTCCCTCTTTCCTACCCACTCTCCATTTACCCTCCCAGTATCGCTACTCACACCACTGGTCCTGCAGGGCTCATTCGCCCTGGATTCCCTGTATTTTCAATTCCTATCTGTACCAGTGTACATCCTCTGGTCTAGCAGACTTGCAAAGGTCGAATTCGAGTCATGGTAGTGGGAGCGGGGAGGAAACATTTAGGAACTAGAGGAAAGTTGTATTTCTCATCGTTGTTACATCGCACGCTGACTGGCTCATCTCCTCCCCGAGACCCCTCTGCAAGGGGATCTCCAGTGGCCTACTGATGTGCTTTGGATCTCTGCTCCGCACTCCCCCCATCATTCACTGTGGTAAGATTGT